ATACTACATGCTACATGCTACATGCTTCACCCTTTTAAGGTATAGAATTCACTGGTTTCTAGTGTAATCACAGAATTCTTTAACCATCACTGCTATCTAATTCTAGAACAGTCCTTCACCTCCAAAGAAGTTCTGTCGTCATTAGCAGTCATCCTAGCTCCCACTTCCGCCCCCTGGCCCCACAAATCTACTCTCCATCTCTGGGGATACGCCTGTTCTGGACGTTTCTCACCAGTGGAATCACACACTGTGTGGCCTTGTGTGTCTGATTTCTCCCTCTGAAAATCATGTTTTCAAGGTCCATCCACACTATCAGCTGTCAGTGCTTCATACAATATTCCATTATAAGGCTATACTACATATGTTTATTCATTATCAGTTGATGAACAACGTTTTGTTTCTTTATGAATAATGTTGTTACGGATATTCATGTGCAAGTTTTGTGTACATGTTTTTATTTCTCTTGGGCAGACACCAAGGAGTAGAATTGCTGGGTCAGATGAAAACTCCATGTTTAATTTTTGGAGGAACTGCCAGGCTTTTTCATAGCAGCTACCCTATTTTCACCCCCTCCCCCAGTCATGCATGAGGGTTCCAGTTTCTTGCCATCCTTGCCAACACTTACTATTATCTGCCTTTTTAAAAATCTTAGCTGTCCTAGTGGAGGTCTAGCAGTGTCTTATAGTGGCTTCGATTTGCATTTCTCTGATGGCTGAGGATATTGGGCAACTTTTCATAAGATTTATTGGTCATTTGTATATCTTTTTTGGAGAACATCTATTCAAACATTTACCCATTTAAAAAATCTCTCCTCTAGATCTATCATTTGCAATTATTTTCTTCTGTTTGGTGAGTTTTCCTTTCACTTTCTTGATGGTGTCTTGGAAACACACAAGTTAAGAAACATTACTTTAGGGCCTCCCCGGTGGCGCAGCTGGTTGAGCAGCGTAGCACTGTGAAGCTGGCCGCAACCTCTGCAGCGCATTCCCGGCTGGCCAGGGAGAAACCCACGTGGCGCGACAGACCTTTCCTGCCTCGCCTGCTGCTCCTCTACCTGTTCTGCTCCCTGCTGTCTCTGGTGAGTTCTCTCACCCTCCAGCGCCTCTGACCTGTACCCCAGTTCTTGTACAAATAAAAATAAATCTGTTTTTTTTTTTTAAAAAAAAGAAGCATTACTTTAAATATCTATTTTTTAATTTTTATTATGAGTAATACAATTCATGATACAACATTCAAAATACCAAATTCAATGAACAGAAGGTCTCTTGCCCTGAATCCAGCCTCCTATTTCCCCACCGCAGAAGTCGCCCCAATTGATGGTGACAATATTTATCTGTTTAAAATCTTACATAACTTTGCAACCTTGCCAACATAACTTTAATTCAAATCCCACCACTTGCTTTCTGTCTTTGGAAAGTTACTTACTGGGTCTCTGTATCTTTACCATGTACTTTGAGGGTTGACAACCCCACTTCCCACCCCTAACCCCCCACCCCAAAGGCTAAAATAATATGCAAAGGTAGAACTCAGCAAATGAGAACTGGTGTCATTACTTACCCTGGAGCAAACGTGTTTTGAGGTAAGTGCCAAGTATTTATCAGCTTTTATATTGTTTTATTGCTAAGATGGAACTTTTTTTTTTTTTAAGATTTGTTTGTTTATGCATACAAGAGCTGGGGTACAGGTCGGGGCGGGGGGGGGGGGTGAGAGGAATCACCAGAGACAGAGTGGGGAACAGAACAGGCAGATCCACTGAAGTACACTGCTGAGGGGATAGCGGGCAAGTCAGGAGAGGTCTGCTGTGCCATGTGGGCTGCTCCCTGCGCCATGTGGGCTGCTCCCTGCGCCATGTGGGCTGCTGCCTGGCAGGCCAGGGGATCGAACTCAGTGCTGCAGAGGCTGTGGATTGCTTCACAGTACGGTACTTAACCCCTTGCGTCACCAGGGAGGCCCCGGAACTGGTCTTGAAACATTCTGAGAAACCTTTAACTAAGTCTCTTACCGGGTCTGCCAATGAGGTGAAAGGTGTCTTGAGCATGTGAATTTTTCACCTTTGGAAATGTGGGTTTTACCTCTGCCCTGGCCTGGGTAGAGGGTGGGGGAGCATGGCCCAAACAACATCACATCCGTCAGGTGTGCTGGACTTCCCTCCTGCAGGCAATGTGATGTGTAAATATTTCATGTATTTTCCTGTTTTTCTCCCACAACTCTAGGCAGTCTCTGCCATTATTCTCTTCAAGGTCCAAGGGACTCTGGAGATCAGAGAGGTTAAGGAATCTATCCAAGTTCACACAGTAACTCAATCTTTTAGACTCTATTGGGTTGCTTTTTTTTTAAGATTTATTTATGCATACAAGAACTGGGGTGCAGGCCAGAGGTGTGGGGGGCAAAAGGATTCACCAGAGACAGAGAAGGGAACAGAACAGGTAGATTTGCTGAAATACACTGCCGAGGGGAGCGGCAGGCAAGTCAGGAGAGGTCTGCTGCGCCATGTGGGTATCTTATCTCCATGGCCGGGGATCGAACTCGTGCTGCAATGGCTGCAGACAGCTTCATAGACAGCATTTTAACCCCTTGAGCCCTTGAGCCACCAGGGAGGCCCTCCATTAGGTTTTTAAAACCTAATCTACGTGGGCATTTTTTTGGTGGGGGAGGGGAGAAGGTAGGGACTGAGGAGTGAGGGTCAGAACAAATCTTTGCTTATCTCATTCTGTTTTCATTCCAGGAACAGGAGTGGGCATGGAGGCAGGGGTATGCCATCCTGGCTTTCTCAGGATGGACCCACCACCAGTCCTTCTGGCAGGATCCGGATGCCATATCCTTGCTGATTGTCCCTCTCTGGGCCTCGGTTTCTCCAAATGCAAGATGGAAATCATATAATCCCTGCTTTTTCTAAGGGTGTGGTAAGGGTTATGCCAATCTCTCAAGAGTTCCTTGCTCTTTCTGAGCTAGGTTATCAACTGTGGAGAAATGGTGTGGGATATCTGAGGCTGAGTGGAGATGGTGATGGTCCGGGTGGGGCGGGGAAGGGAATTAAATCACCCCTGCTCTGGTTAAGTGGGCAGAATTTGGTGGGGGGGGTGAGGGTGGGGGCAGGGAGTTAAGACCATTTAGGATAAGGCCCGAACTTCAGTTATCTGCAGGAATCCAAGCACAATCGGGAAGCCTGCAAATGGTGTTTCTATTTGGTCCTCCAGTGCCAAGGGTGATGGCTGGGTGGTTTAAGGAAGGAAGCAGGGTTCTGTCCCAGGCAGGGTCGTTAGAGCAAAGTCCCAGGTTCCACCCTCACCCTGGACCCACTGGCCCCTCCCTCAGTCCTTCCCACTTACTGGGGGAGCTGGTTTCAGGCTGCAAGTCCTGGGGCTATCACTTCCCTTCTGGGGGTTGACTGGGTTTCCCCTTGAAGTCAAATTATTATTACAAAAGCCGATTCAACTCGTTTGGGAGTTGAAAGGCGCTTTTAATATGTTGTGTGAAAAAAAAAAATGTTGTGTGAAGAGGCAATAAAGAAGTAAGGGGGAAAGCTTTGAAGTCTCAGAACAGACTGGGTCCCTTCACCGAGGCAGTGGAAGTTTCCTGTCTGTAAGGCGGTGGTGGTAATAATGACAATAACGATAAATAATAATAACTGTAATGGGATTAGATGCTAGAATGGAGGTAAACAGGACCAGGACAGAGCCAGTCCCTGGAAAAGCACTCAAGACACGGGAGGGAAAGCAGGTGCCCGTTCACCCCGTCCAAGGGAACGAGGAAGGGGAAACTGAGGCCGGGGCGCACCCCTCGCGGGCACCCGCCGGCCCTCCCCGGGCGCCTACTGTGTGCAGCGGCCGCGCGCCGGGCCGGGCCGGGCCGGGCCGGGCTGTTCTCACCGCTCGTCCCACCCCCGGCCCCGGCCCCGGCCCCGGCCCTCTCCCACGGCCGGGAGGAAGTGGGAGAAACGGACAGGGGAAAAAGTTGGGCTGAGCCGAGCCCTCCCCGCTGCCCACCTCCGCCCTCGGAGTCCCGCAGCCCCCGGCCGGCGGCCCGCGCCGCCCGGGCATCCGGGGTCGGTCCCCGGCCCGCCCAGCACCCCGCGCCCGGGTGGGGGAGCGCGGAGAGCCGGGAAAACAACCGCCCAGCGCGCTCCTCGCCAACCCCTTCCCCCGCGACGCCCCTGGCGCGGCGGGCGGAGGCGACTCCTTTATATAATCGCGGGCGGGCAGGTTGGCGGCTCCTCGAGGGACCCCGGAGCCCGCGGGCCCGACCCGACCCGCCCCCCGAAAACCCGCCCCCGCGGCCCCGCGCGGCCGGGCACCCGGAGGCCCGCGCCCGCCCCGGCCCCGCCCGCCCCCCGCCGCCGGGCAGCTGCGACCCACGCCCGCGCCGGTCCTCGCGGCGCGCACGGCCCTCCCCGCCCCCGCTGCCATCCTGCCACGCCCCGGGCGGCGGGGGCAAAGCCCGGGCCCCCCCGCGCCCGCCCCTGCGCAGAGGCTGGGGGCCTGTTTATCTGGAGGCCCCCACCCCCTCTCCACCCCGGGGGGCCCGCTCCCCCCTTCGCCCCGGGGAGCGCTGGGGCCAGATAAGCTGGCAAGCTGGCACGGCGCCGCGCGGCGGGGCGGAGAGGTCAGAGGCGGGGGGGCGCGCCGGGGGCGGGCTGGACCCCCCCCTAACTTGACAAAACCTAATAACAGCCCGGTCTCCCCCGCGCAGCGGGCGAAGCCCCACGGGAGGGCAGAGACGTGGCAAGAGGGGACCTGCCGAGCCTGTTCTGGCCTCCGAGGCCCGTGGGGGGGGCGGGCCGGGCGTGGGGGGGCCGGCGGCTGCGGCACCTTTAAGACAAGGGAGGACCCCTCTTGCCCTCGGAGAAACCAGGAAGGGAGTCGCGAGCATCATACGGGGCTTTGGCTGTACTGTACAGTTACTGTAGGGCAGTGACGCCGCGCCGCGGAGCGAGGAGCGGAGCGGGGAGCCGAGCGCGAGCGAGCGCCGCGGACCCCGGAGGCGAGCGGCCGAGCAGCCCCGTCCCGACCCCGGGCCCCGGCCCCGCGCGCCCCGGCCCGGCCCGGCCCCGCGAGGTGAGTCGGCGGCCGGCGCGGCCCCCAGCCCCGGGTGCAGGGCGGGGACCGGCCAGGGGCGCAGCGCCCACCCGTGCCCTCCCGGGGAGACCCGGGGAGCCGGGGACGTTCCGCAAGTTTCGGAGGTGGGGGTGGCTGGCAGCTGCCCGGAGGCTGGAGGCACCCTGGATCCCGAGCGCAGGGAGGGGGCGCCGCCCGGGAAGGGGGATTGGGGGCGAAGTGCATGGGCTTGTGCGCCAGCTCCCCCCGCCCCCCACGCCCGGTGCATGGCTTTTTGGGGCTCCCAGGCGCGCGGGGAGCGGGGGAGGGGAAGCGGGGCTGCATTGAGGGTGGGGGGGAGCCGGCGTGGGGAGATAGGGGGGCGCGTCGCGTGCTAAGTTTGCAGCTGGGTACTGGGGGCGCTCTCGCCCCCAGGGGCCTATTCGGTGCTGCGTGCATACGTTGGAGTTGGCCGGGATTGAGATCCGTGGGGGATGGGGGGGGAGGGGGCTGAAAAAACAGGGAGGGGGGCTTTGCAAGGGGGGGGAAGGGGTGGGGTGTCCGAGTGGGCGGGCGCGACCGCGAGGGCCTCTGGGCGTCGTAGTTCCCCCGCCGCTGGCGGCCGGCAGGTGGCTGGATGTGTGGACTACAATTCCCAGGGTGCCCCGCGGCGGCGGCCCGCCGCGGCCCGCGGGTAGGGGCGGTGCGGAGGAGGGGCGGTGAGCGGCGGGCCGGAGAGCCAGTAGATGTGGGCCGATCGCGCGGCGCGGCGCGGGGGCGGGCCCAGCCGGTCCGGAGGCGGGGCCTGCAGCCCGGCTCCCCTCGCCGGGGGCTGGTGGCGGTCCCCGGCTTCCGGCTGCGCGGCCCGCAGGCCGGCCCCCTCCCCGCCCCGGGGCCCCTCCCCGCCTGGTTGTGTAACCGTCCCCAGCCCCCCTCCCCTTGGCCCCCCGTCCCGGGGGGGTGTCACCCACCCGGCCCTTCCCGGGGAGGGCGGCGGCCAGGGCGGCCGCGCGGCGCAGGCGAGCCCGGGGATGCGCGGCCTAGTGCAGGCCGGGCCCGGGCGTGGGGGAGGCGGGCGGGCGGACCCAGATCCGGGGTAATTTGCATCGCCCTCCCCCCAGTCCGGGTGGGGATTGGCCGCCGGCGGCGGGGGGTGGCGCGGGGCCAGGCTCACTGCCGCCTCCCGGCCCCTCGGAGGGAGCCAGCCCTGCCGCAGCCTTCGCCGCCGCCGCCGCCGCCACCGGGGCCGGGCCCCTCGCCGTCGCCCCGGGAAGGAGGTAGGAGCCCCCCGCGCGCGGCGCGGCCCGGGGCCGGGGCGGGGACCGCGCTCTGCGGCCGGGGCGGGGGAGGGGGCCGCTTCCTGCCCCCGCCCGGGCCTGACTCAGCCCTGGGTGGGGGGACCGGCCTGTCCCTCGCCGGCCCCGCGCGGCCGCCCGGCCCCGGGCCCCAGGGGGAAGTGGGGGAGCACTTTTCTGTCCCGCTCGCGCCCCCAGAGCGCGTGACCCCGTCTCCTCTGGCCCGGACCCCCCTCCTTCCCCTTGACGCCACCACCACGTGCGAACCCTGAGCCCGGGCGGTGGAGGGCCGAGCTGGTGGGAATCCGGTCCCCTCCCTTGCTCTTCCTCCGGGGAACCGGCCCCTTCCCCCAGCCCCGGGCCCGGAGGCGGGCAGGGGCTAAGCGGAGCTCTCGGGCCGCTGCATCCCCGGACCCAGGCTTTTTGCGTGTTCTGGGAGGCGCTGCCCGCGCTCCCTGGCGGGCGAGTCCGTGGACCGCAGCGGGAGACTGCTGTCCAAGCAGGCCCGGGCACCCAGTCGGCGCCCACTAAATGTTTGGGGAATGCAGCCAGCAGTTGGCAGAGTGGCAGGGGCAGGCAGGCACTCCTCTCTCCCCAGAACTGGCAGCGGAAGTGAGAGAGGTGTTGGTGCCCCTTCCCCGGGCGTGCCCACCTGGCTCACCCATGGGTGGCGGGTTTGGTTTGCTCCTCCCTCTCTGCCAGCTGCCACTGGAGCAGGGCCTGCGGGAGAGGGCTCAGGGATTCCATGTCAGCCCCCCCAACAGGGCTAAGACACAACCATGAGTGTACCGCTCGGGACTGCGGGCCTCCCCAGCACCAGCTGATTACTTCCTATTGGCAAAACTGGTCTTGGGAGAGGCTCCAGGGAGTCCAGTTTGGGGCCAAGGCTGGGCCAGACTGCTACCCAGGCCTTGAGGGCTCCAGGCAGGGGACAGTTTCCCCCTGGGGTCACCCCCAGTGGGGCGCCTAGAGCACGCCCAGCCTGGCATTTATCTGCTGGGCTCGGGGCTCTGTTTACCACCAGCCATTGCTGTGGAGACGGGAGCCCAGGGTGGGGGGAGGGGGCAGGAGCCCATGGCAAGCCCTGGGATCCGCATGCCTAATGAAGGAAAGAAGAGCCACCAGGACACTGAAATTTTAATTCATGGGTCACTTTGGGGGGGTGTTTATTATTCAGTCCTGATTGGCTGTGGGGTGGCCAGTTAGCACCCTGGCCTGGGCCAGGAGCCACGCACCTCTCAGCAGAGGCTCTGGGAGAGACAGCAGTGGCTGCAGGGAGCCTGAGTGCCCTTTTTCCTGTGCAGAAGACTGGGACTGAGCACAGCTCATTCTTTACCTAGTTGGGAAGGTTCTTGGGGCAGTAGCTGGTTCTGGTGTTTGCTTTCTTTCTTTCCTTGTACTTGGGGTCTGCTGACCCATAGCAGATTCAAACTGGTAGAAGGTCCCACTGCCATATGAGGAAACCGAGGCCCCCAGGAAAGCCAAACACAAGAGTGACCCTCAGAGCAAGTTCTGTGTTGGGCAGGGGAGACTGAGGCCCAGGGACAAGCAGAGAGCAGCCTAAGGTCACCCCGCTGGAGCTCAGCCTGACCCCTATGGTCCTGTCTCCCCCCTTGGTTGTGTCCAAAGTCCTCCCTGTGGTCTCAGCTGAGAGGCACCTGCCCACTTGTCTTCCAGAGGGCCCAGAGTTTGATGCAGGCACCTGTCAGCCAAATGGAGGCTCCCTAGGGATTATCAAACTCTGTGCAAAGAGGACAGCAAGACTCAGAGAGGGCTGACCAGGTAACCAAGGTCACACAGCGTGAGCCCCACCTGCCTCCCAGCCTTCAGTGACCCTGACTGGCAGGCACGTCCATGTTGTTAACGCCGTCTCTGAGCCATACTTCTGTACCTTCGCCCCCAGAGACAGGCAGGGCTCTGGGTTTTATGACCCATTATACCTGAGGAGACTGAGGTAAACCTCACAAAAACCAAGACTCAGGTCCAGTCCTTCTAAAGCAGAGCCAGACCCAGGGGGTGGTACACTGGGTTTTTCAGTGCCTGCCCACTTAACTCTGACCTTGGACAAGCCCCTTGGTCTCCAAGAGCCTGAGCGACCTTCCCACACCTGTAAAATGGGGTTATAGGGTCCGCTCAAGGGTGCCTGCAGATCTGTCTACTTGTGTTCTCCTTCAGTCCCTTGAGGAGGAAGTACCGGCATGGGCTCAGGGCACACGGCAGGTATTCTGTGCGTTGGTCTGAGACACTCAGCACCTCCTACCTGTCACCTTGTGCTCCAGGCATCTGCCTGATAGAACATAAAATGCCCTGCAGCAGCTCTGGGCAGCAGAGACCAGAGGAACAGGCTTGGGTGGAGGCTAGTGTGGTTCAGTCCCAACCAGGCCTGCACTTCCACCTGAGGCCCACCTAGGAAGGTCACATCCCTTCTGCCAACCTCTATTTTCCATCAGTGCAATAGGGAGATAACCTTCAGGCCCCATAGTGTCTTCCTGAAGGTTTGCTTAGTGGTCCCCCAGGAAAGCTTGTTGAGTGACTATGCAGTGTCAGGGCCTAAGGGAGCCGTTCTGCATCTCTGTCTTGATGACCCAAGGGGTCGAGGCCCTTGCTTTGAGTTCATAGATGTCAGCTGGACTTGAGCCCTGTGCCGGGCTCCCTGTGTTACCCCTGGCAAACCCTTCCCCTTTCTGGGCCACTAATAAGCCATCTTCAACCCTCAGGCCCCTTGGGTGGGAGATTTAGTTCCTGGCTCCTATATAGGGGAAGTTTGTGGGGCCAGGGAGGGAGGAGTCCTGGGAGGACTAGTTAGGCAGGACCAAGCCAGATAACCTACGTTCAAACCCAGCTCTGCTGTGTGACCCTGGGCAGGTTGCTTCCCTATTCTGAGCCTCAGTTTTCTGCCTGTAAAGTGAGGGAATGATTACAAACCTTCCCTCCCAGAGCTGTTGGGATTGATGGGTGACATGTTTCTCTTGAGATGATCTCGACCAGGTCCTATAAGCCCCGCTGAGGAGCAGCCTTTGCCCTTGGGCCCCTGGTCCCTAGTTCAGAGCCCCAAAGCTCGGAAAGTATCCTGTTGCGAATCTGGCACTGGTGCGGAGCATGGCCAAAGAACCAGCCCCTCCATCTGTCCCCCCAGCAGGTTGTGGATGGCCACTCTGTGGAAGCGTCCCCACCCACGCCTTTCTGGTTTGACTGGAAAACAAGGCCGGGTCCCACCTCCCATCAAGATGTGTTTAATGGGAGAGAACTGGCTGGGTTTGTGGGCACAGGTCACTGGAGCCCCAGTGGGCTGAGTGCTCCTTTGTCTGGGCCTTCCAGGCTGAGCCCTCCACCTGCTCGGGCTAGGGGCGGAGGTACTGCAGGTGCCTCCAGGTGACAAACAGACCTCAGGGGAGGGAGGGGACCTGCTGGAGTTGAGAGGAGCAGCCTCCTAAAGGTCACCCAGGGCTCTCCTGGGACTCTGGGATATGCAGGTGTCGCCTAAGCTAAGGGTGGGGTAACAGTGATGGATTCTTTAAAGACTAGCTTTGCTTACCCCTGGTGATGGGAAGCTCATTCCTCTAGCTCCACCATAAATGTCTCCACAGAGCTTCCTCTTGGAACTTGGTGTTGGTCTGAACTTCCTGACTCATAACAGCATTCAGAGTGTGGGAAAAGGGTGGGCCTCAACCCCACCCATGAGTTTGGGGTCAGAAGGGATCCCCATGACCTCATCCTCCTTCCACCCCTCACATACTTCCCACTGGACCTTTGGCCTTTCTGCCTCTGGCCCTTTAAGGCCCTGGCAGGAAGCCCCTCCCCATTTAGGGCAATAAATGGACATGTAAAATGGCCGAGGACCCGTTCCGTCCACGTCTGGACCTACACCCAGAGGGAGCCCTTGCAGGGGACTGACAAACCCACTCTGGGCTGTTGCTGTTACCCCCACCCCCACCCCCACCCAATTCGGACTCTGCATCCTGTTCCATTAAACCCCAGGCCAGAGACTGGGCCAGGCGGGGATTGGCACCAGGTCAGGGCGGGGTAACCCAGCAGGACCAACCTTGCAACACAGGCTGGGAGGGGGCGGGGGCAGCTGGGTGCGGGCCTAACAGCCACACCTGGGCACCAAACTTGCTGTGTGACCTTGGGCCGACCGCCCACCCTCTCTGGGCTTGTTTTTTTCCCTTCCAGATGACGGCTCTGCTCTCTTGTCTTCCCTCTGGGGTCCTACCGCCCACTTCCTTGGCACATATGAGGTGGGAAGGAGGTCGAGTTCCTGGAATAGCATTTGTTGGTGAAGTGTCCAGCTCCTCCATCCACGAGAGAAGTGAACAGTGGTTGGGCCTCTGGGTTCTGGTGCTGGCACACAGAAGGGCCTCGGGCAAAGTTTGCTGAATAGATAAGTGTGGGCCTCTTGGCCTAGGGCAGCCCCAGCCCCTTGGCTACCATCCTGAGCCCCCAAGGAAACGGAGGCATGGAGGCTCTTGCCCAAGGTCATGCAGCAAGCAAAGGGGAGAGCCAGTTCAAGCTGGACCGCCCCGCATGGCACATAGTAGGTGGCAGGAGCCCGTCCTCTGGTTTCCTTTTATCCTCTTTTTGCTTTGTGAGCTATGTATGTGGAGGGGTCTTAACCCCTCATTAAGTTGCCCCCCCCACTTCTCCAGGAAGGCACCAGGTGGCAATTACCTGCCTACCCCCAGTGGCTACCCTTTCTTCTCCCTGAGGAGTGTGGGTGGGAGGAGGCCCAGCCCCAATGCTCACCTTGCATCTGACCTTGGGGAGGCTTCTGGAAATGTAGCCTTTTCCTTCCTATCCCTTTCTCCTAGCACCCACCTCCAGGCTTTTGTCTCTACTGTTCCTCATGCCCAGGGCTTCCCAGAATCCCAAGGTCTGTCCTGCATGACACCTGCTGCTTCTGGGGCCAGGTCAGGGCAGTCCTGACCTCACCAGCAAGTGTCCTTGGCAGTTGAGTGGTGGCAGCTCAGGTAGAGGGGTCTGCGTCTCTGCTTGGTCCGCCGCCTAGCCTGAGTCTGAGCACCTCTCTGAGCCTCTTTTCATATGAAAATGAAGGCACCCTGTTAGTTCCCAGAAGTCCCGGACCACAGAGGAGACAGACCCTCAGGAGAGCCAAAAGTAGACCTGAGTTCTGCTGTCTCAGAAAGCAGCTGCAGCGAATGATCCTAGGTTAGATCAGAGGTGGGCCTGGCCCTCCCTGGTATTGGGTGTGCCAGCCAGCTCTGGGTGGGGCCGGGTGTGGGCTTTCTCCAGCACAAAACTCTTTGGTCTTTGGCTCAACGGGTAGCTCATTTTGCTTTGTCCCTACTGTGTGCAGCTCTGCAGAGAAAATTGGGTGTGGGGGAGCCTGGCCGTGGCCCTGAGGGAGGAGGGCACCCACTTCCAGCCCAGGAGGAGCCTGCCGAGGCCTGCCCCTCGGCCGCAGTGTCAGCATCCAACAGCCCTGGAAATCCCACGGAGGGAGAACAGAGCGGGGGCAGGGCTGTGATGAAAGACGGCCCCTTGGGTGTGGGCCTGAGCCCAGGAGACCCTGGCTGTTCAGGGTGGGGCTTCTGGAAGAGAGACGTTTCTTTGGATAGGCATTACCCAGGAAACCACCACCTCAGGGGGCATTGAGTAGGTTCAGGTGCAGGTCTGGCCTCTTAAGGCAAAAGGAGCCACCAGCTCTGTGGGCTAGAAGATGCTGTGGTGCACAGTGGGTGCTTTTATTTTTTTAAAGATTTATTTATGCATACAGGAGCTGGGGTGTAGGCCAGTGGTACGGGAGCAAGAGGATTCACCAGAGACAGAGTGGGGAGCAGAACAGGCAGATCCACTGAAATACACTGCTGAGGGGAGCAGAGACAGGAGAGGTCTGCTGTGCCACATGGGTCACTTCCCTGGCGGGGGATTGAACTCATGCCGCAGTGGCTGGCAATAGCTTGATAACATTGTATCTTTAACCCTTGGGCCACCAGGGTGGCCCCCACAGTGGGTGCATTTTACTACCTGCCCCTCACAGGGTCTCCTGCCTCAGAGGGGGGGCCCCGAGAGGTTGGGGTGGGGGCACAGTGGACGGGTGTGGCAGGCAGGTGGCATGTGTTCCTGGATAAAGGGTGTGGGTCATGTGTCTACAGAGCCAGTTTCCAGGGCAAGGAAGAGGGGAGGGGCAGCCTGTGGGTCAACCTTGCTGGATGCTCTTGGCCAGAATTCTAGTTGTCTCTGGGCCTTGATTTTCTCATCTGCGAAATGGGAAGTCATGCTACTGTCCTTGGCTGGCACTTCCCCAGGCCTGGCCTCTTCAGGAAGGGTCTCAGAATTATCTGGGGAAATACAGGCCTTGGGTAGGAGAGGAGAGAGACATGGACTATCAGACCCATTTAGTCCTGTGCAGCAGGCCCAGCTCACCTAGCATGGAGACCCAGGCCCAGAACTTAGGGCGGCGTAATGGGTTAGGTTTGAGGTCCAAGTTTGCTTCTTCCTTCCCCTGGTGACTTCTGGCAGGCTGGAGTCTGGGCATCTTCATCTTTTTAAGTAGGACTCCAGCAGCCAGCGGAGGGGTAATCAGCTGGATCATCTCAGGTTCTGACCTGGAGGCCCCCAGAGACATTTCCAGGTTTGAGAGAACCTGGAGATGGCTATCTTGGGGCACTGGTCACCTGGGTCAGAGGTCTCTGCTGTGCCTGGGGCAAGAAGGGGCTGAGACCAGTCTGATCGAGAGCCCCATCTGCCCCTGAGGCCCAGGGCCAGACAGCAGATGGTGGCAGGGGGTGGCAGTCACCATAGAGGCCTCCTTCGAGGCTTCCAGTAGCTAGGCCTCAGATGGAGTCGTCTCCCCTCCCAGCAGCCACATCTGAGCCAAACCCCCCCCTCCCACCATAGAGGGCTTGTGGTGGGGGTGGGGGGGTGTTAGCAGCTGGTGTGGTTGGCGGGAAGGAGGGCAGGCCGCAGAGAGAGGCGTCCTGGGAAGTGTAGTGCAGCCTGAGTGGCACACAAAGGCTTCTGTGTCCGCCCTGAAGCCTGGACCCTGCACCCTGGGCTTAGGATAGTCCTTTCCTGGCTTTGGGTCTATGCCCAGCTCCCTTGAGGGGCTGGCCACTTGTGTCCAACTCAAGGCATAGCAGGAGGGGTCCTGCCGGAGAGAGCTGGGCTGGGCTACGGTGATGCTGGGGGTCTCGGGGTCCTTGGAAGGCCCAGATTGGGGCCTATCCCTGGAGACAGCCAGCTGGCCGCCCCGACCTAGAAGAACGTGGGCTGTGTTGGGTGGCTTGGGGCCCACGGGCTCCCCTGAGAGGGTAGAGGGGTGGGGACAGGAGCCAGGGTTGCACAAGTGCCAAAGTGGGTGGATGAGTCACAGCCCAGAAGGCGGAAGAAAGGATGTGGCGCGAGAGGGGTAGAACAGACAGCTGGATTCCCCCCAGCCCAGCATTTCTAAAGACCTCTGCCCATTTAACAGATGGGGAGACTGAGCCCCCCAAGTGACAGGGCCTTGTCCTGGGCAGACCAGCATGGCCAGAGTGACTAGAGAGTTGGGGAGGGGCTTCCTGGAGGGTCCGTGTGTAAGCACCATGTGGACAGGAGGCTTCGAACCTCTGTTCTTCCTTGGGGGATCAGCCTGGGCAGGCAGGAAGGTCGTTCCCCCATTACTCACTGCCTGGGTCCTGGGGTCTTTCCGGGGCAAGAAAGAATTTGTTTTACGGAGGTACTGGTGTCATCCCACCAGGGCACACCACAGCCCCAGTGGCCCCGGCCATGTCCCCAGGTCTTGGCTGAGCCCCCTCCTGCTGAATCTGAGTCTCCCAAGAGACCCTGACCCCACCAGGAGGCAGGAGTGAGGGACAGGCCTAGGTACCAGGTGGGGATGGATATGGCTCTTGGGTCAGATGCCCTGGGTTTGAGTCGTGCACATACAGCCCACCTCCCTGAGCCGATGGTCCCGCCTCTCCAGAAGAGACGGTGCTGTGGGGGCTCGGGTATGCCGGTGCACGGAGGGGAGGGCAGAATCCTGCCTTCAGACCCATGAGAAAACAAGTTTTGTTTTCTGGGTATTTATTGAGCACCTTCTTTGGAATCCCAGGCTACCTCAAGTAGCTCCTTGGATGGGCACCCTTGCGGGCCCTCTAGTGGCAGAGAGGGTGCTGGTGTGGCGTCTCCAGCACCCAGCGTGGGTTTTGCCGGCTAATATTGGGATAAGGTAGCATCAGACTCGGTGCTCAGTTGGGGAAGCAGGCTCGAGGAGGAGTGGCGGGGAGTGGACCGCCTTGGGGCACAGCCGGGGAAACGGGCTGGGGTGCTACTTCCAGAGATCCTCTCAGCTCACCACCGCCCCTTCCTCCCCGGCGCCGCAGGTCTCAGCGCGGAAGATGGCCGGCGGCGTGGACGGCCCCATTGGGATCCCGTTCCCCGACCACAGCAGTGACATCCTGAGTGGGCTCAATGAGCAGCGGACGCAAGGCCTGCTGTGCGACGTGGTGATCCTGGTGGAGGGCCGTGAGTTCCCCACCCACCGATCCGTGCTGGCGGCCTGCAGCCAGTACTTCAAGAAGCTCTTCACGTCGGGCGCCGTGGTGGATCAGCAAAACGTGTATGAGATCGACTTCGTCAGTGCCGAGGCGCTCACGGCCCTCATGGACTTCGCCTACACCGCCACACTCACCGTCAGCACGGCCAATGTGAGCGACATCCTCAGCGCTGCCCGCCTGCTGGAGATCCCCGCCGTGAGCCACGTCTGTGCCGACCTCCTTGACAGGCAGATCCTGGCAGCCGACGCGGGCGCCGATGCCGGGCAGCTGGACCTTGTAGATCAAATTGATCAGCGTAACCTCCTTCGTGCCAAGGAGTACCTCGAGTTCTTCCAGAGCAACCCTATGAACAGCCTGCCCCCCACAGCCGCTGCCGCTGCCGCCACCTTCCCATGGTCGGCCTTCGGCACCTCAGAGGATGACCTGGACGCCACCAAGGAGGCCGTTGCTGCCGCCGTGGCTGCCGTGGCTGCCGGTGACTGCAACGGCTTGGACTTCTATGGGCCGGGCCCCCCAGCTGAGAGACCCCCGGCTGGGGACGGGGACGAGGGTGACAGCAACCCAGGTCTGTGGCCAGACCGGGATGAGGACACCCCTGCCGGGGGCCTCTTCCCACCGCCCGTGGCCCCGCCGAGCGCTACCACACAGAACGGCCACTTCGGCCGGGCCGGGGAGGAGGAGGCCGCCTCACTGTCGGAGGCGGCCCCGGAGCCCGGAGACTCTCCAGGCTTCCTGTCAGGCGCAGCCGAGGACGGGGATGGGGACGGGCCCGACGCGGACGGGCTGGCGGCGAGCACGCTGCTGCAGCAGATGATGTCCACGGTGGGCCGGGCGGGGGCGGCGGCAGGAGACAGCGACGAGGAGTCACGGGTGGATGACAAGGGCGTCGTGGACTACTACCTGAAGTACTTCAGCAGCGCCCACGACGGCGACGTCTACCCTGCCTGGTCACAGAAGGTGGAGAAGAAGATCCGGGCCAAGGCCTTCCAGAAGTGCCCAATCTGCGAGAAGGTCATCCAGGGCGCCGGCAAGCTGCCGCGGCACATCCGGACCCACACAGGCGAGAAGCCCTACGAGTGCAACATCTGCAAAGTCCGATTCACCAGGTGAGCCGGTGGCGCGTGGCGGGTCGGGGGGGCCTTGGGTCCCTTGGCTGGAATGCACCCACATGCGCCTGCCCTCCCCTTGCACGCAGCCCGCCTCCATGTGTAAAACAAGGCTGCCTGCCCTGAAACAGCTCTTTCTCCACTTTGGGGCACCCTTGTGCAACCCGCTGAGAGCAGCCTTCCAGTGGGGACGGGACAGGCGTGCCTGAGAGCAGTGAGCCGCTGGCGGCGGGACGCTCGGAGCCCCTCTTTCCTCTGGTTTGGTTCTCAGGTGGGGGGAGGCGGGGGTTTGCCTCGTGAGAGGTAACAGCTCTGTGAGAAGCAGGGAGCTCTGGTGGTTGTCACTTTTAAGTCTCATGAGCCCGGGGAACTTGTGTCACCTAGCCTGAGTTTTTGGAGCACCAGCTGGGTGCCAGGCCCTGTTCTAGGCCCTGGAAATGCAGAAGTGAAGAAACAGGCCCAAATCCCCATGGTAGCGATGGAGCAAATGCAAAAAAAAAAGTCATAGAATCGATCAAATTCGTTGGTGAAATGCGCCAGGGAGGAAAATTGAGCAGGGGGCTTAGGGGGGTGCTTGGAGTCTGTGGGTGCTGTTTTAAACCAATAGGGAGGCCTCACCAAGATAGTGACATTTGAGCTGAGATCTGAGGAGGCAATGGAGGGAGCCTCCGTGAAGGGAGAAGAGTCGGTGCAGAGACCCTGAGGCCAGTTGGGCTTGGGGGATCCTGCAGTCAGTTGAGGAAAAGGGGGCGCACAGGAGACATGGTTTGACAGGTCCCTGGATAGGAGGAGTTTGAGGCCAGACTTAGGAAAATTTGTGGTTCGGTCTAAGGGTCCAAAGGTGGCTTGCTGGGCCTCTTGTGTCAGCTCAGTACTGGTGGGGGGCTGGCGTGCAGGGGCCTGGCCAGGCGAGTGACTCAGCATCACCCCCTGGCCCCCGCCAGCCCTGGGGTTCCCCCAGCCACACCCACCCAGGCTGAAGAAAGAAGCCATTGTCCCAGCTTCCTGGCCCCACCCTGTGGGTACAGGATCTAGGGGTTGACCCGGCCCAACCCCCCAGCCCCCTCCCCAGAAGACCAGAAAAGGAGGGTGTGGCTCGGACTCCAGGACCCAGGAGTGCCAGGCAGGGGCAAAGGGTGCTGGCTGGAAGTCAGGCAGTCTAGTTGATGGTAGCTTTGGCAGGACTGGGCTCCTGGTAATCTTTGGAGGTTCTGAGTCTTTCTCCAGAAGGGGGTTCTGAGATGACCCTGGTCTCTACCACTGGGGGGTTTCTGGGCCTGGGTGATAGAGGCCCAGTGAGCCAAGGTCAGGAGAAGTGACCATGCTAAGCAAAGGTCTGGGCCTCAACAATAGGCTTGAGGCTCAGTTTCATTTTGACCAGGGATTCTCTCAGCCACCCCACCCCACCCTCCAACCAAAGGTTGATCCTGTTTGGCAGTCAGGGAAACTGAGGCATAGAGAGGGGCATGAGGCCAGACTTTTTCCTCCTACACACCCACCTGTACTTCTCTGCCCCCCACCCCTCCAAGCTGGGGAGCCCATGGGCCCCTCTGAGTCACACATGAGAGTTGAGTAAGCAGGGCCTGTGGCGGCCAGAGCTATAATTACCCAGGTTGAAGCTTGGGGTGGTGAAACTGGGGCTGCCTCCACTCCCACCACACCTGGGCACAGCCCCCAACCTGCTGTGCAGCTCAGAGCAAGTCACTTCCCCACTCTGAGCCTCTGAGCATCATCTGGGCAAATCTGTATGGTGCTAGAACAGTCTGAGTCCCTTTGAGGCTGTATCCCTATGCTGAGATCTGGGCAGGGCAACTGAGAGACGTCAGCCCTGGTCTTTGGGGGAGGTAAGGGAGAGGGAAAGGTAGTTCCTGGCAGTTTTGTCCCCTCACTGGTAACAGACTCACTCCAGGGAGCAATGAGTTCACCGTAGCCCACGTTCTGTTAACTCACATAGGGGTAACACGGCCGGAGAGTAGGCAGAGGTCAGGTTGTAAAGGGCCATGCCTTGTTCCTCAGGACAATAGAGAGCCATGAAAGTTAGAGCTAGTAGGGACAGCAGCTCTGTTGTCAGTACCAGAGAGAGGGACCTGGGGTTGAGAAGCCAGGTACTTTGTGGAGGGAGGGGGACATTCGAGATGGGGCTTTGAAGGATAATTAGGAGCATGTCACTTTTGAAGAAACTCAGTCTGGTTGGTCTCAGATGGAAGAAACCAAGAATGGCTCAAGAGGCTGCAGCAAGAAGCCAGATAGATGCTGACCAGGGCTCTGTAGACAGACCTAGGGGTCCTCCCCTGCCCTGCAGGTTCCACAAAGGAATCCCCCCACTAGTACGGATCAGCACAGTGCAATAGAAATACCCTGTGAGTCATCTCTGTGACATTAGATTTTGTGGCAGCCACATCTTTAAAAAGTAGAAGGAATAAGTGAAAGTCATTTTAATGTAGTTTTCTGTAACCTACCGGATCCATTTCAACATGTAATTGATGTACAGAGTTACAAATGAGCAATTTACGTTGCATCAGGCAGATGAACTCTTCAAGAATTTAGGGTGCCTTTTGTGCTTTTTGGACAGACCAACATTTCAAGAGCTCAGAGGCCTCACATGACCAATGCCTTCTGTGTAGGGCAGAGTGGTACCTGGGCTGTAGTCACCCCAGAACTGATACGATGGTGACCAGCTTTGTGGACTGAAGGGCCCAAGCTGAGCTGGGTCCACACTGTCCCCTGTAGGGGGAGGTGAGCAGGGCAAGAGCCCTGGAATCACTCCCAGCCCCTGCTGTATCAGGTCATAGTCTAGCTGGGGAGACATGCGAGGAAACCAGTGTACAAATAGGAGAATCAGATGGTGGGGGCATAAAGGACTAGGGGACTCAGGGCAGCCTCTCCAAAGAGGTGACAGTGGAGCCAAAATTAGACTGTGAAGATCTGAGGGAAAAAATATGCTCTGGGCAGAAGGTACAGCATGTGCAAAGACCCTGGGGCAGATCCATGCTTATTAGCATGTTGGGCTGACGACCCGTGACCAGAGCAGAGTAAAGGGAATTTGCCAGGGAAGTCCGCGGGGCAAGGATTTGCTCATGCTTTCCGTTACCAAGCACCCCAGTGTCCTGCCTTGTTCCTTGCTGTAGTTTCACACCTGGAACGGGGCCTAGTACTCAACGGGTGCTCAGTCAATGCCTGTGGTGTCAATGGATGCCCCTGCCACTTGGCAGAGCCCCAGGCAAGAGGCATCTCATGCTCTGTGTGAGTAAAGGGTTCAGAGAGACTCAGCCATCCTCAGAACCATAAGCCTTGGCTCCCTGTCTGAATCAGTCACCGTTTTAACCTCCAGGCTAATGGGCAGGGGTGGGGTGGGTGGGACTTTGAAGGATGAGCAGGAGCTTGCCGTCCGCTGACCCTCACCCCCATCCACAGGCAGGACAAGCTCAAGGTGCACATGAGGAAGCACACGGGCGAGAAGCCATACCTGTGCCAGCAGTGCGGGGCGGCCTTTGCCCACAACTATGACCTGAAGAACCACATGCGAGTGCATACCGGCCTGCGCCCCTACCAGTGCGACAGCTGCTGCAAGACCTTCGTCCGCTCCGACCACCTGCACAGACACCTCAAGAAGGACGGCTGCAACGGCGTTCCCTCACGCCGAGGCCGAAAGCCCCGAGTCCGGGGCGGGGGGCTCGGGGGACCCGACCCCGTCACAGGAGCCCCCGCACCACCTGGTGCTCCTGCCCCACCTGGCTCCCCCGACGCCCGGCGCAACGGCCAGGAGAAGCACTTTAAGGACGAGGAGGAGGACGAGGAAGAGGCCAGCCCTGATGGCTTGGGCAGGTTGAATGTAGCGGGCGCTGGAGGGGGAGGTGACAGTGGCACTGGGACCACGGCCGATGGCACCTTCGCGGCCGGACTCGCCTGAAAACCAAAAAGAGAAAACAGAAATCCGAGAGAGAGAGAGAGAGAGAGAGAGAGAGAGAGAGAAAATCACCCACCACCCCCCAAAAAAAAACACAAAAAAAGAAAATCTATATACAGATATCTATATCTATATATATATATATACAGATATATATATATGAAGCGTCACAGAACCTAGGCTAGTGCTTTCTCAGATTTCTCTCCATCGTGTTCTCTCCCTCCACCGGGACCTTCACCTCTCCCTGGCCCCTTCCCCCCACCCCATCCATGGGTTTTGGGGCTTGGTTAGGGGTTTTTGTGGGACACAAGGATTCTGAGCACCGCGCCCCTCTCCTCAGGATGCCCCTGGCAAGGGGTCTGGGTCCCATCCCAGGACCGGGGCGGAGGCGAGGAGGGCCAGGAGGGGCCCGGGATTGGGGTGGGTTTTTCTTCTCTTCCCTCGCTGGTTTATACGAGTCTTTCAGACAAGACCTTAAATGCTTTCTGTCCGCCGTGAGCGGACGTTAAAATGACCCCCGTCCTTATTCCCTACCCTCCTTCCTCAGGGCACTTACTAAGGGGGGGTCTCCCCCCTCGATCTCCCCGTCAGCCTCCCCCCATTCCTGCCTGTGGTCCCCATATCTCCTGGCCGCTGCAACACAAATCTATTTATTTCCAGGCGTGGAGTAAAGGGGAGAAGGCTCGGGGGGTGAGGGGGGCGCCAGGGCAGCTCTCAGGGGCTCCCGCTGCCTTCATTCATGCACTTACAACTCAGCGGGACACCCAAGGGCTACTGCTCAGGGCGCCCCCTGCCACCCATGTCTGTGTTCCCCGACCCAGGCCGCCCAGACCCCCACGAGACATTTGGAGATTCAGAACTTCTTGTCATCACCCCTCCTGTCCCTCTGAACCTCTCCCAATTTTTTAAAGCACTTTTTAGATTTGTTTCCCTCTTTTCCTCCTTAAAAACAAAATTTATATATAGATATATAGATATATATATATATATAATATACTTTTCCTCAGAGGAGCAGGCACCAGTGTGGGGTGAACTACCCAGAGCAGAGGAAACCCAGGGTCTCACGGTGGCAGGGAGGAGGGGAGAGAGAGTCCAGAAGTTCCAATGTCACAAAAGCAATAAAAACTAGATTTTACAAAACGAAAGGAAAAAAAAAAGGCAACCAACCACAATAGAAGTCTTGGCACTTTGTAACAGAACGGGTACTACACTTTATCTTAATTCTTAATTTAAAAACATGTTTACAAGTTGCAACCAACTTCTATGAAAAGTCGAAAAGACAAAAAAAAATAGAGCGAGAGAGAGAGCGAGAGAGAGAGAGAGAGAGAGAGCAAAGAGAAATTCCTAAAAGTTGATTTATTTTTGTACAAAATAATAAAAAAAAAAACCCACCACAGACGTAGAATCCACTTCTGTTCCCCGAGGTGAGAGGGGGGCCAGGAAGGCACGGGCGAGGGACCGGAAGGGTCACGACACCTGCTTCCCCGCGGGAGCGCATGCCGGCAGGACTGGGGCTTTTTTTGTTTCTGCCCGTGTCCTCCCTCCCTCCCTTTCTTTCTCTTTCGGTTCTTTGGAGATGTCTCCTCCCCCCACTAGCCATACGATGGCCGCCCATGCCCATGGGTCCCTCCTTACTGACTCCCTAGCTCAGGGATGGGCCTGAGAGAGGGCTGGCCTTCCAACCAGCCAGAGCAACTTAGTCCCCATCTGCCCCCGCTCGCCCTCAGTGTCCCCCCACCCCTTGACCCTTGCCCACTTCGGGGCTTCCAGCCCTCAGGGCCTGTCCTCCAACATGGCCGCCCTTCCTTGTGGCCACCAAGGAGCCGCCATATTGGACATGCCATCCCTGTTGAGGTGGGTGATGGGGCCCCACCTACAGGGCCTTACGTCCCCCAGACACCCCTCTTTTTACTCAAAGGCACTGACTGTAATCTGGGGGCTGGCACCTGCCTCCCCCCAGCCTCTGGCTCCCTAAAGGCTCGATGTTGACCGAGCCACAGGCCACGGACAGGGGCCAGGGTTGGGGAGACCATGTTGCCAGAGGCCAGGGCACCCTCCCCCCGACTCCCTCTTGCATATGCAATGCCTAGTATGGGACCCTGTAAATAGATGCTCTGCTGAGCTGAGACCCTTCCTCGTCAAAGCCCAAGGTGCAGGGTTCCCTGCTCTCCCCCGCCCGCCACTGGCCCATCTTCCCCAGGCCTCTGTGCCCTGTGACGAACCCCATTTCTCGTCGTCTTTTTTTTTTTTTTTAAAGGGAAGCTTTTCAAGAAGGCAACTTTTATTATTTCTGCAGGCTAGTTTACCCTTCCCGCCCCACCCTGAGCCCATCAGCCCCCCAAATGTCTCAGGACCCCCCCCTCCTGAGGGGGGTGGCAGGGGAGCCCAGGGCCAGGTGGCCTCGTTCACACTCTAGTGTCAAGGGGCGAGCTCTTTTGAAACCCATCTGTGGAAGCCGAGCAGAGTGCCCAGGCCAGGGACCCCCCCCACCCCCAGCTCCCAGAGAGGTTCCTTGAGAGGAAAACCCTCTCCCCCCTCCACACACCCCCTTGCAATAAAACCAACTGAAAAATCACAACTGTCGTCCTGGCCAGTGGGGACAACCAGACTTGGGGGATCGAGGCCTCTGGACTATGGCGGATACACCGGCCGAACCCCTCCAAGCACACTTTAACACAAACCTCTTTGGGAATTGCACTAAATCCTTGCCCCTAGCTCCGAGCTCAGCTTCTGCCAGCCCTGCCCGCCCACTCCGCCTTAACCCCTCTCTTGCTGCCTGCCAGCCCAGCCCGGGTGCCGCAGCGTCTGCATGGGCCCAGAGCCAGGACCCCTGCCCGCCCAGCCCCCCACCTCCACGCAATCACATACTGTATATAGACATGGATCAATTTTATTTTTATTCTTTAAATTAAGGTCGTGATAAAGTGTTGCCAAAGATACTGCTGAATTCTCGCGTTTCAGGAAACAAACAAACAAAAAAAATATTTGAGGGGGAACGTGCTGACTGGTCAGAAAGGACACAGCAAAAAGTTTTTTTGTTTGGTTGTTTGGGGTTTTTTTTGTGTGTTTTCTTTTTTTGGGGTGTTTTTTTTAACTGCCTGGTACAAAAAAAAAAGAAAAAAGAAAAACAAAGCGAAATTGTTATTTACATCATCTTGGTGAAGTTGCGTGGGTGTGTGTGTGTGTGTGTGTGTCGGTGTGAGTGTGTGTGAGTGCGGTCCAGGCTGGGGGGGCTTCAGGTGGGGGCTCTGGGGGGCTCTGGGGTGCAGAGCCCTCACCTGGAGTGATTGCCAGCCTTTGGGCCTGGGAGAGAATTAATACCCTTTGCTGCTGCTCCCTGCCTACAGCCCTTCCCACCCCCGCCCCGCCTTTTGAGATTAAGAGAAAATTTTAAAAAGGCAAAAAAATAAAAAAAATAAAATAAAATAAAAACCAGTGAATGTAAAGTGCCAGACCAGGCCCAGACTGGCACGGGGATGGGTCTGTGCCCAGCTGGGCTCCAGCGGGCCATACCAAAGTCTGCCCCCCTCAGGCAGCTAGCCCAGGAGACCCCGCGCGGCCATCTCGTCCTGTCACCGTTTGTACATGGCTGTCCTTCTGCTTCCTTCCGAAGGGGAGTCCGGGGAGGGAGGGGAGGATCAGCCCCTTCCAGGGTCTTCTGGGGGGGTTTGCACTACTGAGACCCACTGACCATGGCGGGAGCAGCTCTGTCGGCCCAGGTGGGACCAAGGCCAGGCCCCCGGGACCCAGGCAGCCCAGGCAGCCAGGATTGTAGGAGGTGAGACAGAGGGAAAGGAAAAGCAAGAGGGGAAAAAAAAAAAAAGAAAAAAAAAGAAAAGCAAAAGTCCTATTTTTTTGAGAAAGAAAGATATTTATATTTGCAGTTTTATTTTAAAAAGTTATTTAAGCTGAGGAAGCAGCCTTCCTGGAGGGGGGTGGGGGTTGGCTGGTGCAGGACGGGTCGGGGCCTGGGAGGGTTCAGGGCCCTGGGAGCCATAACCTCAGAGTCAAGACTAGCTCGCACTAAAATACATAGATTTATGGGGTGGGGGGGTGAGGGACAGGGCTAGGAGATGGAGGGGGCTGGGGAGACCCCATCTCATGGCCGGGGCTGCCTGGAAGCCGCCGCCGAGGGTCCCAATGCCCAGGTTCCCCCCTGTGCCCCACACAGGCCCAGACAAGAGGTGCCTTGGACTTTGGGGGGCCAGGCCTGGCGAATGGGGAGCTGGGGCAGCACCTGCGGGGCAGAGCACAGAGCAGACATTCCAGACTGTATTTGAGAGTCTTTATAAAGTGTGGGAGATTAAAAAAAATCAATTGATAAAAATGCACTTTTTGGGGGTGGGGGGAGAAGCTTTAAAAAGTAATAATAAAAAAAAAAAGACAAAAGATGATGAAAAACCAGAAAAAAAAATCATTTTTCTTGTACATAAAGAAACCACTAAACGCAGCCTGTTACGACCGCTGCCGCCTCATTTGCCTGATTTTCACGTTCTTTGTGTTTTGTTTCGGGGGAGGCTGGGGATGGGGAATGGAGGGTTTGGAGGGCTTCTATCCCCTGGGTGGGCCCCTTGTCCACACTACTCGGGCCCCCTGCAAGTGGGGTTCCAGGGTAAGGACTCGAGCTCAGCCTGACTCTTCCAGCTAGTAGACAGGGACATGAATAATGGTCCCCCAGGGCAGGGTGGGTGTGCTATTTGCAGTGCCAGGCCTGGGGCCTCTACACAGGAAGTGACCCACTGCCCCTGCTCCTGTTCCAGGCAGGTGGCACCGGAAAGGGACCCAAGGGAAGGTGTGGGCACTGGCAGGATGGGTGGGGAGAACCGACCTGGCGGGCACCTCAGTCACTTCCATCTGGAGGGTTTGTGGAGGCCCTGAGCAGGGTGGCCTTGGCCAGGATCTCCCAAGACCCAAGAGGCCCCCCAGGGATGGCTCCACGCCAGGCCCCAGAGACATTATTAAGGATATGGAGCCAGAAACCCGAGCTGGCAGCTCTCCCACATCCTCTGGAAGTGGCTGGGGCCCATTCTGGAGCGGGAGCTGTAGGCTACAGCCCCCCACCTCTGCACAGGGGTCACCGAACACAGCCATCTCCAGGGTACTTGCCTCCTCCTGTCCCCCGAGTGGGACTCAGGCCAGCAGGGCCTGGGGTGGGGGTGGGGTGATGGGGGAGACACCAAAGGGGGTCAGAGATAGTCGCCACAACCTGGGAGAGGATAAGCCAGGTGGTGGCTCTCGGCCCCTCCTCTGTGGCCTGTGCTCCCAGTGGTGTCACAGGGAGTCAGTCTGGTCACCAGGCCCGAAGCTTGGGGTGGGATGCTGGGTGACGTTGTGGAGGTCCCCCCTCAGGGGCAAGGTCACTTACTTGTCTGCACTCACATGGTCATGCGGCGGCACATTTGAAGCCGGGCCTCCAACTTGGGCTCGAGGGGCACTGCCAGCTCCGCAGGAGACCCCAGAGGACCTGAGCCAGCCACTCGGAGACTGGAGGACCTTGACCAGGCCGGTCGGCAGCAGGTCCAGCCACTCCGCGAGCCAGGGCCTCGGCACGCATGCTCCCACACCCCCTCCACCGAGACTTGTTTCTGAGCTATACTGCACGCCCCGGTCACCCTTGGAAAACCAATGGTTTTAGCATATTTGAATTGTACAAGCGTCACCTCCATCTAGTTTTACAACATTCCATCGCCCCAAAAAGGAACCCGTCCCCACTAGCAGTCACTCCCGTCTGGACAACCCCCGGCCCACTCTCTTCGCGGATGTCCCTGTTGGGACGTTTCATGGAAATGGAGTCACACCGGGGTGGCCTTTCGTGTTGGCTCATTACAGGTCGTCCGTGCTGTACGCATCAGTTTCCTCCACAGGGCCGAGGACTTCCCTGTTCGCGTAGGTCCCGCTGCGTATCGATTCATCCCGCAGTGGACCCGGGCTGCGTCTACCTCTGGCTGCTGTGAATCACGCGGCTGGAACATGTGTGCGCAAGTTTTCGAGTGAGCCTGTGTTCACTTGCCCCGGGGTCTACGGAACTGCTGGGTCAGATGGAAACCCCATGGCTAACTTTGGAGGAGCTGCTGGACCGTTTTCCTCATCGGCGGCCCCATTTTCCATTCCCCGTCGCCACACACACGGGTTCCGGTTTCTCCCCACCCTTGCCAACGCTCGGGGCTGTCTGAGTCTGGCTGTCCTAGCGGGGTGACGTCTGCCTCCGGTGTGATTTGCATTTCCTGGTGGCCAATGATGCCCGGCACCTTTTGATAAGCTCGTGGGCCACCGGGCAGACAGGGACAATCCCAACTCCCTGCCCGCGCCAGCAGCAGAAAGACAGCAGAGCCCGAAGTTCAAAATGAAACCTCCCTCCTCTGACAAAATGTCGCTCGTCTCGAAGCCTGCGCGTCACACAGCAGGAGTGACGCCCACGTGGCGGCTCCCCTCCTCCCCAAGTCTCAAGGTGATGCCAGACACAGAAGAGGGGACTCCTTGGTGGCTTCACTTTGACCTTTTTTATTTGCATTTTTAAAAAACAATTAAATTAGAATACAAATACTAGAAAACAGCGGCCCTCAGCTGCCAGTGCAGACGGAGGGGGGACTGAACTGCGCAACTGAGTTTATACAGTAAAACTGAATTTGCCCTCGACCAGATTTTATGTCCCTTTCTTCTTAGACCTGAAGTGATATTGCTTCCTGACTAGGAGAGTTCTGTTTGTACAAAGGAAAATTATTCTGGGGTTTGGGGGGAGGGGACTAAAGCAAAAACAGAACTGTGGGCAGAGGTGGTTTGGAGAACCAAGCATCGCCTCCTGGGGGCAAGGATGCTGGGGGAGCGGGCAGGCACCCAACTGTGGGTTCCTGGAGGCATCTGGGGCTACTGTGGAAGCCCCCCCAGTCGCTGGACCCTCAAGGCCGGGGTCCACCAGGGGATGGGCAGGTTTGGTGCCTGGGGACTGAGGACAGCCCCCAGCCCAGCCCTATTGGAAGACAAGAGCGCCCAGGGGAGGGGGTGCCGGGCAAGCCTGGTACCCGTACCCGTCAGAAAACCCAAGAGCAAGAAGAGGGGAGAAGCCCCCCTCAAATCGAGAGCACGGGGAGGGACCCCTGCTGCCCCTCAGAAGTGGCGGGGCCGGCGCGGCGGCGGCGGCATCTGTGGACATCTGCGTTGTTCCGTAGGGAAGTTAACCTGAATTGGAGTTACCGAGGTAGCTGGCTAGAAAACTGAGACCCCCCACGCCACACGGTGCCACACCCTGGGGCCCTCCCACCTGCTGCAGGGGGTCCTGGCCACATGCCGGGTCTTCAAAATACCAAGTTATTGCACTTTCAAAAAATACAACACATCTGTGGCTAAACCCTCCCCAGACCCCCCACCGCCCCCACCGCCTGCCCAGGCCCACCCCACCGCCCCCCTCCCGCCCCAACCCACTCCATGGCTTCTTGGCGAGAACGCTTGCTGCTCGCCGCTCGGCGGCAGGCGCCGGGGCTCTGCGAGAGGACGTGCTCACAGAGAAGAGAAAAGCAAGGGAACAGACGGGGGTCGCGATGGTGGTCGGTGGTCTCAGGGAGGGCCCCGCCCGCCACCACCCCTCAGGCTGCAGTGGTCGCTGGAAGGTGGGGCTGAGGCGCCCCGAGGGCGCCGCTTCCTGGGCCCCGCCCGCCCAGCCCCAGGGTCAGCTGGGTCCTGAGGCTCGGCCTCCAGCTGGGGAAGCGGCTGTGGGGGCGGCCTGCCTTGTTTTTAAGAGTCTGAATTTTTTTTTGCAGGATTTCTTTTCTTTTTTTTTTTTTTGTCATTTTACTTTTTTAAACCCTCTGCCGGGAGAGTCCAGAGGTACAGGTGCCAGGAGCCAGGGAAAGGGGTGGAAAAACAAAATGAACAATAAAAAGGAAAAAAAAAAAAATCACTCCTCCCTCTGTTCCCCAAGGCCTGCCTGCGCCCCTCCGGTGGGTGAGCACCAGGAAAGTCGAGTGTCCGGCCAGTGGCGGCAGCGATTGGTCAGCAGGCTGACACCAGGCCCTTCTGGAAGGGGCAGCGGCGCTTGGGCCGGGGGCCCTCCTCGTCCTCGTCTTCCTCCTCGTCCTCCTCCTCCTCTTCCTCCTCCGAGGACGAGGAGCTGTCCAGCGTGAGGTCCACCACGTCGGCGCCCGGCTTCCCGTTCTCCGCGCTCCCCGCCGCGCCCGCCCCGCCGCCGGCGCCCCCGAGCACGCTGCCCCCGCCGCCGCTGCCACCACCGCCGTTGACGCTGGGGGTGGGAGGGAGCCCGTTGGCGTCCGAGGGGCCTGTGGGGACAGGGACAGAAGCTCAGGGCTGCTCCTGCCCGCGGGCCGGGAAGCCACAGCCAGCGAGGGGCAGGGCAAGCCCTGGGACACCCCATCTGTCTCAGGGCGCTGCCCCCGCCAGGCACACAGCAGGTGTCAACAGCCGCGCCGGGCCGCCCCAGCCGTCCTGTCCTGTGGGGGGCGGACTCCACCGGGACGCTTCCCTTTTACATCAAATTAATGCTGCACGGCAGAATGTGAGTCAAACCCAGGCGCCTTCAAGGCCCTGAGAGGGGTCCAAAGCCCAGGGGACACTCACCAAGCACGAGGATGGGGCACTGGGGGCTGCAGCTGCGCTCCTTCTCTGCGCGGATCGGGCACCACGAGCCGTCCACCAGGTACTCAATCTCGTCGGCGTCCTGACACTCACTCAGAATCTTGGAGAGCAGCCTAGAGGGGTGGGCGGGCTGATTCCTGGAGCCGTGTGCACCTTGCTCCCCCACCTGCTCCCCTGGACTTGGGCAGGATGTTTTCTCCATGCTCGCCAGGGCCTGGTACCCACCATTCTGCAGAGGGCCCACAAGTCAGCCCCATTTTACAGCTGGGGAAACTAAGGCCTGGTGAGAGTGTGGGCTCGCTGAGGTCTGGCTTGTCTCCCTGCCTGCTGGCTGAGGCAAGTGGTCATCTCCAGCAGCTGGGGTATCTGAGGAGCAGCCACATGCCCATCGCAGGCCTGGGCAGGGACACCATCACCACCGTGATGGACCCGCCCTGGCTCCAGCATTTATTCAACATCTGAGCTGCACCTGCCTCTAGGTGCCTTCAACGCCCTCAATCACAGGCACTTAGGATTGAGGGCCCGTTGCTCCCTGATACCCTGTAGGGCCAAGAGGTGCCTCCTACCTCCACCCTGAAGCCTCCTCGCTATCATGTCCACAGATCACCACTCCGGGTCACCCTGGAGTAAACACAGCTCCACCTGCACGCACCCCCACCCTGGAAAATACCTGCTCACCCTCCAAAGTCCCACTCGAAAGTTCCTCTTCTTCCAGAGCTGGCCCCCGCAATAATCAGTGTGTCTGTCTCTGCTCCTTCCCACCCACTCCCCATCCCCATGTCCTAAATGAGAGATCCCTAAGGTAGGATCACCCTTGGATCCCCCAAGTTCAGGCGAGGGCCCTCCAAGAATCAATGTATAAACGAAGGACCCCTTTTCGGAAAGCTTCCTAGCAATGCCCAGACCCTGTGGTTGCTGGGATCATGGTCTGTGTGGGTCACAGCTACACTCTCCAATCTCAGTCCTGCCCGCCCCTAGAGCTGTCAGAGCTGCTGGCACCCCGAGCCCAAGTGACCCGCTCTGGGCCTGTGGGGGGAGGCGGGTACTGGGCTGCACAGCTGCCAGGTCAGAAACAGAGCCACCATTCAGGACCAGCCCTTGCCCATGGCCCCAGAGGCCTTCTCACTCCGCCCAAGGCTGGACGGCATGGGGGTGTCAGCTTGCCCCTTTGAGAGGGTACCCTGGCTCAGAGCTGCATGAACCTGGGTTTGAGTACTAATCTGGCCATCTGCAAGCTGGGGGGCCTCTGGACTGGTAGCTGCCCGCTTCGAGCTTCAGTTTCCTCATCTGTAAAGTGGAGACAATTAAGGCCCCATCCCTTGGGACATTTGGGAGGGACAGTTGGCAAGACCCTGAGCTCAAGGAACCTGAACATGGGGACAAAAGCCTATGGCACAGGCATACATGGCACCTGTATGTTGGGGTTGCTCCCCCTCAACCCCAGCACCCACACCCACATCCTGCCCATGGACAGGCTGATGGTGGCCTATAGTTGTTGGTTCAGGGCAAGGCTGCAGGCATCTGCCCTGAACACTCTTTTGTGGGACATTCCTGCCCCAACCCCTCCACCCTGTGGCTCTAGGGACAGAAGGTGGGTGTGGCTGTGCCTGGCAGGAGCTTGTCAGTCAGGTGTTAGGCTCAGTTTCTGGAAACCGAAGACTCGAGCAGTTTCCCTTTAGGGGAGGGCAGGGGAATGGACTGGCAGCACGCTGGTGACAGCAAGGAAGGGGAAGACCGGGAAGCCACCAACTTTGGAGAGAAGTGCATTCCTTTCATCTTTCTTTGCTGTGCTGAGCCCCACTGGAGAGGCAGCTCTCTGAATAAGGGGGGGTTCTTGAGTCCCCTTGTATGTGGGGGAAAACAGACACATGGAGAGCACAAGGTCATCCAAACGCAGTGTGGGCCCTACTGGGTCCAGAGTTCAGTTTCTGGAGCCTAACAGCAAAGGCTCTAACAAGTCCTGCAGGGTGACACTTGCCTCCCTCTGCAGCCCAGGCTGCAGCAGCTCCCAGGGTCACTACAGGCCCTGGAAAGTCAGGAGCCAAAGAGGCCTCAGAAGCTCTACTCCTGGCTCCACAGAAAGGCTCAGAGAGGTGAGGGGTTGAGCGCAGGCAGCCCAGCAGGCAGGAGAGCGCCCTGCATAGCCAGTCACTCACCCATCGATGATGAGCTGGTCGTAGGGAGCTGGCTTGTCGCACACGGGGCACATCCAGGTGGGTTTCTTCTCGTTCATCTGGAGGTAGAAGACGGCGTCGAAGCACTGCAGGTGGGCACAGGTCTCCGCCCGGCAGGGCACCGAGAGCCGCATCTTCACCAGCTGAGGGGTGTGGAGGTGAGGTGTGAGCAGGCCCAACCCAGCACAGCCTGTCCCAGATGCCCCCACACTATGGACAGGGAGGAAGGGGACCTGGCCAACTCACTGGACAGATGAGGGAGACGCGCACGCCGGTGGTGGCAATCTCACTGTCGGGGTCCAGGCGCAGCTTCTCCTTGACTGTGGAGGAGGGGGTGGTGTTGGAGGCAGGCACCTGGGGACTCGGCTCAGGAGGTGGGTTCTCTGCAGTACCCACTGCTCCACAGGGGAAGTGGCTCACACGCCTGCATCCCCGAGCCCTGGCACCTGCTGCATTCCAGAGCCCAGGGGCAGACATGTCCATGGAAAACCCTGGGTGGCAACTAGTTATTACGAGGTGCTCCCTGGGTACAACCACCAGGAGAGCCGAGTCTCCAACCAGTCCACCCTGCTGGGGATTTTTATTATTTTTGTAAAGATTTATTTATTTATGCGTACAAGAACTGGGATACAGGCCAGAGGTGTGGGGTTGAGAGGATTCACCAGAGACAGAGCAGGGAAACAGAACAGGCAAGTTGACCGAAGCACACTGCTGAGGGGAGCAGCGGGCGAGACAGGAGAGGTCTGCTGAGCCATGTGGGTTGCTCCCGGGCTGGCCGGGGATCGAGCTTGTGGTGCAGAGGCTGCAGATTGCTTCATAGTGCGTTGCTCAACCCTTGCGCCACCAGGGAGGCCCAAGATTTTTAGACTTTTCTGGGAAGATTCATATACCACAGGTCCTCACCTGTGACTGTTAATTTCTCTGAGAACTCAGCGGTGAGAGATAGGGGCCTGCTCTAGACAGTGTCAGGGCTTCCTGTACCACACAAGGGAGGAAGCTGCGGTGCCCTGCTGCTGTGACACCCCCCTCTGGGAGCACGTACCGCGGACCTTGTAGGGGCAGCAGCCAAGCCAGACTGGCGCACCTCCTCGCACTACAGTCTGTCTTCTTAATAGAGGCGATGGCGGCCTCCACAACAAAGCCACGTGCAGCAAGGAAAATGTACCTAACATGGGAGGCCTCCCCTTCTGAGAAGGCACAAACTTGAAAAAAATCTGAAAGGAAGCACAGCTAGCATGCCCCGGGACAGCCTGCCCCGGGATACTGGGTCTTCCTCCTCTCAGTTTCCTAGGGCTTCTGCCTTGAGAGTGGCAGGGAGATCAGCCCACAAACCCAGAGGCACGTTCATCTAAACTGCACCCTCAGATAGCTCCGGAAAGGACTGACTTAGCTTTGCTGGCTGCAGGTTACCCTGCACGGAGCCTGGAGCCTGGAGCGGCCTCTCCCAACAGGACACTTGGCAGCCTGGAGGACTCCTGTCCCCTCTTCTGGGGAGCCTCCTCTCTCCCTTTCTCACCTCTCCCCACTAAGGTCACATCAGTCACTCCCACCTCAGTATGACTGTCTGCCCAGTGGCTCCCCACCCCTCAAAAAGACCCTGGGCAGCTGAGAACTGATGTACACATGCTTAGGGCCTTAAAGCCAGGCCTCAGCCTGCCCTGACAGGGAGGTGAGCTTGGCAGGAGGGTTTGAGTGAGAAGAATAGGACTCACTGCTGCCACTGGAGAAGGCTGGCAGTGAAGACAGCAATGAGGGCCTGCTCTGCAAGGCGACCCAGGGCTTGCTTTGGCAAGGAAACCTGACTATGTAACCAGGAGGGGCCTGGACTGTCACATAACCTCCATTCGCCCCCTAACCCCCCAATGTCACAGGTTCCAGGCCTCAGGCCTTGGCGCCTGACTGGTCAAGGTCATGAAGGAGTTAAGCTGGGCTGCCTCATACCCTACCCCCACCCTATGGCCTCATCCCTTGCCTCTTCTGGTCAAGCTGGCCATTGTCCCCACAAGGAGATGGGGAGACAGGCAGGTGGGGGGGTGGGGAAGAGTTGAAGAAAGGGCCCTTTGAGGGAAGCAGGCGGCGGCGTGGCTGAGCACACGGGTGGAGGCCCTGGGGGTCATGGAGTCCTAGTTCTGCCACTCTGTGTCTCAGTGTCCCCAAATGGGGACATCACCAGGCTGCAACTCCCAGGGTCACTGTAAGCATCAAGTCAGCAGTCACTCCCAAGGGTCCCCCAGTGACCAGAGAGGGCCAGTGACTTGCCTGAGACCACACAGTGTGCAGACACTGCTGAGCACGCATGACATGCAGGCCGTCCCCTTCCCTGCACTGGGAACCAGAGCTGCGGGTCTTGACCGTTAATTTTAAAAAGTGTATTCTGTGACTCCCTCCTTTTCTTGGTTGTTGAAAGTACAAAAAAGAGGGGTCTCCCTAGTGGCACAGGGGTTAAAGTCTCAGTGCTATCGGGCTGTCACTGGAGAAGCTGCGGCCTGAGCTGGATCCCCAGCCAGGGAGTTGACCCACACGGCGCAGCAGACCTCTCCTGTCTCACCCACTGCTCCCCTCAGTGGTGTGTTTCAGTGGATCCGCCTGTTCTGCTCCCCACTGTCTCCAGTAGGTCCACTCATCCCCTGCACCTCTGGCCTGTACCCCAGTTGTTGTGTGCATGAATATGTAAAATAAACCTTTAAAAAAAAAAAAGCACAAAAAAGATAACTGCCATTTCAGGTGAGACCTTGTATCTTCATCCTCATAGCTCCCACCACAGACCTGTCCTCTGCTCCTGCTCCTGGTCCCCTGGCCCCCCAGCCTCCCAAGTTATCTGCCTAGAACATCCATCACCTAGGTTCTGCACTGCCCCAGCCCGCCCCGCACTGGCCAGAAGCTCCCTCCACACACACCACCCTCAGTCTGCCCAGCCCCAGTGGCCCTTGCACTGAAGATTCTGCTGCTGGTTTCCCTTCTACTTCCTACCTCCTCCAGAGACCTCTGAGCTCCCCGACCCCCAGGATGACTAACAATCCCACAGCTGGACCCTGGGAGGTCCTGGTCCCCTGCTCATGGCCCATGCCTCACGTCTGACCAAGAGGGAGGCTCCTGCCCTCAAGGGGCAGCCAGCAGAGCAGGTCCCAAGCACTCACCCAGTGCCTTGCACAGCTCCGGATGCTTGACCCCGATGGTTTTCAACCTCTGCAACAGCTCCGAGGAGGTCAGTTGCCGTACCAGGTACAAGGCCACGGAGTAACTCTGGGAGCAGAGGGGTGGGCAGTGGGCGTCAGGGTCAGGCAGCCAGGCAGCTACGGTGGGGTAGCCAGGAGGCAGCACCTGGCCCTGCCACTCACCTTGCCGTAGTTGCCCCAGGTGACAGTGATGCGGTTGGTGGCTGAGGACAGGTACATGAGGTGGGTGAGGTTGATGGGGCGGCAGGGCCTCTTGGGCTCCACTCCAGGCTTATTTGACGGGTAGTAGCCCTGGAAGCACAGGTCAGCTCATGCCATGGGCAAGGACACAGACAGGGGAGACAGGGGATGCCCATGTGCCCCCCACCCCAACTGGGGCTGTCTGGGGTGCCCTGCTCACCGGGACCGAGCAATAGCTGTGGTTGACCTTCACAGCGATATTGGGTGGGTACTGGTCCTCCTGAGGGCCGCTGGTGTCTGAGTAGCAGATTCTGCAAGGACAATGGGACTAAGGGGATGAAGGGGTCTCGGCAGAAGAGGGGCCTGCGCTGCTGTAGGAGATCCGACACAGGATCCAGGGTGGAGGCCACTTTGATGGTCCAGGCAGTGGTGACAGACCCATGTCTGGCCTGAATTCCCACAGACAAGGACAAGTAGCACGACTGGCTGGGGAGTCAGAGAGGGGCTGAGAGGGGCAGCAAGAAGGGGAGGGGAGGTGTGGCAGGGCTGCAGCACCGGGGTAAGGGAGACAGGCTTGGCCAACAGTCCCGCGCTGGGGCACACCTGGGCTTACCTCAGGACAACCTGCACGGCCTTGATCCCGGGCTGCAGTTCTCTGTGAGCCAAGGGAGTCAGATGGGAGCAAAGGAGAGAGTGAGGTGGGAGCACCCAGCACACCAAGCTGACCCCTTGGGCCAGGAGACCATGGGCCTCACCTGGGAGGGCCAAGTGGGCTCACCTGCCACCTCCATTGGCAGCTGAAGGCCTAGAACTTTCTCTCCTATCACAAACTCACTGGTGGTTTAGGTAAATGACCAGTGACGAGAAAAAGGGGGGACCGGTGAAAATATGAAGTGGGTTGGTGGGTGTGAGGCTGGCCTGTGCTAAGTGTGCTGCTCAGCTGATTTTGGGCTCCACCAGAGTCGCAAGGGCCTTAAAGAGCATAGTCACTCTTGGAGAACCAGCCTCCAACCTCATCTGTTAGAGCCCAGAGGCTATCACCTGGGTGATTCTGCCCGCCCCTCCTCCCCCCGGGGAAAATGGGTGATGTCCAGGGACATCCACAGTTGTCAGAACTGGGGGTGTTCCTGGCAGAGTGGGCAGGGGCCAGGGATGTTGCTCAACACCCACACAGTCCAGGACAGTCCCTCACACAGAATGACCTGGCCCTGATATCAGCAGTGCTGAAGGGACAGACCCTATTCAAGGGGGACAACCCTATTCAGGGACACAGGGTCAAACACAGCAAGGACTGCTGACCCTTGTGCACACTGCCTGGCATACGAGAGCGGGCATGAAGCACGGGCTGGGGTGGGTGGGCTGCCCTCCCCTTCAGGTCAAAGGCTCGCTGAGGCTAGTACTCAGGCCAAGCACTCCCACCAGTCCCCAGGGTCAGCAGAGGGCCAGGGCACCACACACCTGGAGTTCCGGATCAGCTCCACCTGCCTCGGTGTCAATGCAAAGATGCACGGGCTCTCTTGGAGCTTCTCGTTATTCTGTGGAACTAAAGATAAACTCAAGGTCAGGTCCCATCTGGTCACCAGCAAGGGCGTGTCTATAAGTCTGGCCCTCTTGGAGGTGGGAAACAGGAAAGGGGAGACTGAGTCCCCCGGGAGGACAGAAGTCTCAGGTGAGGACTGGGGGGCAGTGGTCTTTCTTGGAGGTGCTCGCTATGGCCCAAAATTCAGGGCGCGCTCGCTACCAGGCCTACTGCACTGCAACTGAGGGCCCCAGCCTCACCGGCCCTCTAGAGTCGATATGTCTATTTCAGGAGACCGAGAACTGCTTACTGGGAAGGAGAGCTGTGCTGGGCGACAGGATGCAGCTCAGACACACCAACCAAAACTCTGTCCCTCCCTCACACAGCTGTTCTGGTGATCTAGTGAGCCTATGCTTGGCATGGGCCGTGCACTTACTGAGTCCTCATGAGTCCTTGAGTGGATGGTGACAAACCAGACAAGAGGTCCTGCCTCAGGCCCTCAGGGGCCAGTCTCAGAGAGAAGTGGAAGAGCAGTGCTGTCCAAGGGCACAAAGCAAGAGTCACAGAGTGGGCCGGCTCCCAGTGGAGGCACGAGGGTGCCACAGAGCCTAGCTCCACCACCCTGAAGCACCTACTGGGTGCAGCAACTGGAGGAATTCTGCAAGGGGACGGAGACTGAGGTGGTGAAAGTCAGCTCTTCACTCTCAATTTTAACTGCAGAGAGCCACAGGCGAGATTAAATAACGCTCTGAACTGAGTGAGAAAACACAGTGCTCCAAAGATGGGGTGGCCACCACAGACCTGAGGCAGAATCACAGCTTCTGTTCAAGAAAGAGAATGGTTTAAGAACAGCTTTCAAGAAAAGCAGGTTAAAACCATAGTTGTCAGAAGGAAAAAATTAAAGAACAGAAGTCGATGAAACAGAAAGCTGGCAACACAGAAAATCAACAAAGCCAAGCAAGAGTCCTTGGATCAAGGCCTAACTAGACTACAGTGAGGACACACAATCAGACGTGAAAGGCAAACTGGACAGTCTCTATAACCTTTGGGGTCAACAGGAAAATATAATAAGCAACTTCATGACAACCAATCTACCCACTTAGATGAAATGAAAAAATTTCTGCCAAAATATCAAATTACAAAAACTGGCACCAAAAGATAATGAAGGCTAGAAAAGCTCCTTATGTTAAAGAAACCGAATTTGTAATTAAAAACCTTTGCTGGTCCAAAGTGAGGCGTTTCAGTGATTAAAAAACCATACAAACTTTAAACTCAGAAAAGGTACAATATTCCTTGTTCATTTCACTAGGCCACTGTAACTCTGCTATCAAAACCTGACAAAAAAATGCACCAAGAAAAGAAAATTTCAAATATCCCTAATGAAGAGATGTAAAAATCCTTAACAAAATAGTGGCAAATGTGGGATTTGGCCCAGAATGCAAAATTGGCTAAAATGAAATGGCCGACAACGCCACGTGTTAGCAAGAATGTGAAGTAACTGGGTCCCTCTGCTGGGGGCGGGAAGAGGGAATGTAAAGTGAGTGGTACAACCATTCTGGAAAACCACTGGGCAGTTTTTCTTTTTCTTTTTTTTAAGATTTATTTATTTATTTATACAAGCACTGGGCACAGTCAGAAGCGCGGGAGGGTGAGAGAATTCACCAGAGCCAGAGGGGAGAGCAGAGCAGGCAGAAGGACCGAAGGACACTGCTGAGGGGAGCAGCGGGCAGCAGGAGAGGGTTGCGCGCCATGTGGGACCCTCGCCAGGGGCCGGGGATCGAACCGGCGCTGCAGAGGCTGCGGGCAGCTTCGCAGCCCAGTGCTCAACCGCTGCGCCACCAGGGGAGGCCCTGGGCAGTTTCTAATGAAATTGGACAGCAACCTCACCCTTGGGTGTTTGCCCCCCAAATAAATGGAAATATGTTGACAAAAAAGCCTCGAACAAGAACACAGAGGGCAAGCATATTCCTAACAGCCCTACACAGAAACAGCCCCAGCGCTACCAGCGGAAGAAGGGATAAATGAGCAGCAGCACATTCACGCGGTAAACGAAACTTGTGTCCTTCACAACATGGACAAATCTAGAAAGCACTATGCTGAGCCAAGGAAGTGTCGCATTGTGTGCGGTCACGTTCTAGAACAGGCAATACAATCTAGTGAAAGGAATGAGAATCAAGATGGCCTGTGGCTTCTGTTTTTGAGGGGCTTAGAGGTTACCAGACACACTAATTTGTTACAAGTCAAACTACACACTAAATGTCTTTAAGAATTTTATTGTATGTAAAAATTTTTATTGTATGTAATTCAGTTAAAAAATGTTTAAAATTGCACTGAGAAATCATCTGATTAGAACAGATGGAAAAACTGGACAGAAATTGAAGAAGCTGCAGTCATTAGGAGTGAAAACCTCTAGACGACCTGGCACAATCTTTCAAAATTAGCAACACAGGCCAGGGCAGCAGCACCCGGGGCTGGAGGCCGAGGGATGCACCTTACTCAGAGCACCTTCTATCAGTAAAAGGTGACCCACCACCCAAACACCCCCACCTGAGCTATACCCTTGGGATGTGAGAGGAGACGGAGACAGGGGACTCAGAATCCAGGGGCTCTGGGGCTGACAGGGCATGCTCTCCAAGGCGGGGTGTATGTCACACTGTGACTGGGACCAAGGGTGGGGGGGCGGTCTGCAGGTGCATGTTCGCATATCTGTCCAACTGGCATCTGGGGGCAGAAGAGGGGCCTCGGGAATCTGGCCTCCAAGGGGTTGGATAGAAAGACGTGTTTTATTTACGCTACGGGGAAGGGCGAACCGTTCCTATAAACTTGCAAATATGTTTGATTTCGGACAGCCAAGTGGTCTTTGCCTCACACCACGAAGCAGCCGAGGGGAGGCACAGACTACACCTACAGCACTTGGTTTAGGAAAACACGCAGCCAGACGTCACCCTTCCACCCCGGCCTGCCAACCCTGCTGCTGTAGAGCCTTCTGAAAGTCCAAACACAACAGGTACCGTCCTCCAGAATCAGACACGATTTCAGCTTAAAGCCAGCTGGGGCTCAGAAGTCAGGTGGGGTTCCAGAGCCCCAGCTCTGCCAGGGGCCCTACATCCCCCTCCCCAGCCCGGGACCCCTCTGTGCTTATGTCCCACTTCTCAGGGCTCATATGCGGGGTCCTCAGCGCACACCGGGAGGTGGCTGCCACCATTCATGCTTGTTTGTTGAGCGCCAGGTTGGTCCCTGTGGAGTCCTGGCGAGGCCCTTAAGGAAGAGGCACGGGGCACACTCAGGTCTCCTGCAGACACGCCCAGACCTGAGCAAAGAGCCAGGGAGCAATTATTTAAGGGGGGAGGGGAAGGGGCTGTCTCAGCCATCTGAGCTGGGTGAGAGATCACAAATATCCCTCACCCCAGTCCCGAGCAGGCTGAAGGACTAGGATTCAGGGACCTGTCCAGGGATGGTGAGCTGCCACCACAGCTAGGCCTTGGCACAACCTACACCACTGAGGGTGGAAGGTGTTAGTCGGTCCCCCAAAGTCAGGCCTTTGCCAGCTGCAAAAGGACAGCAACCACAACTCTGGCCCACCCCGCATAGCCTCTCTTCCCACCAACCCTGTCAGCTCTGCTTTCAAAGTGCACCCAGTGCAGTCCCGCCACCTTCCCCTTGTCAGATAAGTCTGCTACACCCCCTCCCTGGTCTCCTGGGTGCCCTCCTCACTGTCTGTTGCCATCCAGGTACTCCCCACCTGGTAGCACATCTAGCCTGGGGCATTTGCACCTGCCATGCCCTCACTGGAACATTTCTCTCTCAACTACCCACATGGCCCCGGTATTTTGTTAAGTCCTGCATAAGTGCCATCAGAATGGAAGCCTACCCCACGAGTTTTTATTTAAAAGCTGCAATCCCGGGACCTCCCCTGGTGGCGCAGCAGTTGAGCGCTGGGTTGCGAGGCTGCCCACAGCCTCTGCAGCGCCAGTTCGATCCCCGGCCACCAGTAAGGGTCCCAAAAAAAAAAAAAAAAAAAAAAAAAAAAAAAAAAAAAAAGCAAGCTGCAATCCTAGAGCCTCCCTGGTAGTGCAAGGGGTTGAGTATCAGCGCTATGCAGCTATCTGCAGCCTCGGCAGCATGAGTTCAATCCCCGGCCAGGGAGCTGATCCACATGGCACAGCAGACTGCTCCTGTCTCGCCCGTTGCTCCTCTCAGCAGCGTATTTCAGAAGATCCCACTCTGAAATCCTGCGCCCCACTTTGTCTCTGGTGAATCCTCTCACCTCAACACCTCTGACCTACACCCCAGTTCCTGTATGCATAAAAAAAATAAATCTTAAATAATAATAAAAGCTACAATCCCTCCACCCGCATACCCACACAATGTTGGCACCTCAAGGCTCCATGCTTCATTTTTTTAATCTTTACCTCTAATAATCAACACCATTCCTCAGTGATTTCACTTAGTTCTTTTTCTCTGGGCCACTCCTCCCACCCCCCTTCCTGTGCACACCCACAGGCCTAATGCCCCCTGGGGACTAAAGGGAGGGAAGCCCCAGTTTCAGGGTCCTCCAGGATCAAGGGGATCCAGGAAACTGGGAAGCAGCCCTGGGGTGAATGTGAGACACGGCGTTCGAGGGCATCTCTCTCCACCCGCCGCTGCTATGCAGCCTTGAAGCCGCTGGTAGAAACGAAAGACCTAAGAGGTCCCCAAAACACAGGGGGCGGGGACAGCAGTTGGGATCTAGCCACACTTCCCAGGATCACACACACACAGAGCAAAGAGGGGGGCTGCTCTGGTGACAGAGCTACAGTTAGCCTTTTCTGTTAACTAGTGTTTTCCATGATGAACATATACTTTTACAAAAATCTAAATTTAAAAACAGATAAACAGGAGATTTTAAGAGGTCACTCAGGGGTGCGTGACCACCATCCCACTGGTCAGAGCACACGCGCTCCAGGCTGGGGGCCCTCGCGCCCACCCCACCATGCAGTTCTCTATCCTGGGACTAGGACCATATCTGGCCCAACCCCCACCCT